AAGATATCATGTATGCCCAGTACGTCAAGTAGATGAGTAAGGTACCAATAACAGCAATGAACCCTCATAATATATACATCAATACACTTACACCATATCATGTATGCCCTGTAAGTCAAGTAGATGAGTAAGGCACCAATAACAGTAATGAACCCTCATAATATATACTTCAATACACTTACACCATATCATGTATGCCCTGTAAGTCAAGTAGATGAGTAAGGCACCAATAACAGCAGTGAACCCTCATAGTATAATATAGATCAATACACTTACACCACATCATGTATGCCCAGTAAGTCAAGTAGATGAGTAAGGCACCAATAACAGCGCTGATAACCAAGTCTCTTGGACCATAGTGCTTGCAACCATAGAGAAAACCAACAGCTACTACAGCTACTAGTACAGCAACTGAAAAAAATAGATTAGCACATAGTTAATGGAGCGGAATGCTTGGGAAACCTGTTGTTCTAGGTTTTTGTTCGACTTTATCCATTGTCATGTGACGTTGACCGTGCACAGAGAAGGAAAAGTTGTTCCGTTTGTTCAAAGTATACGGGAATATATGAGTTTTTTTCCTAAAAAAACGTTTGTACTAAAATAGTTATTATTTTGTTAACTAATCCTTGTTTATTGAAAAGGAAATCGCCTCTTTTCATGCGCTTTCTTACTTGTGTCATTATTAATATAACTAACTTAAATGTTCACACGTGAAAATAACCAGGAAACCAGTATTTTCATCTATACTGGCTTTGGTTCCTTGTGCACGGTCAGTATCACGTGTTTGTACGGTTCAACCTGGTTATCTTTGTGCTCCGTAGATTATCAAGATTTTAACGTTTTATTTCTAGTTTTTATCGATTTTTTAGTTTTATATTTGTTTTATAAGTTCATGAGTCCTAAATTATGATATAATATTCGAGAAATTTTCTTATTTCACGCTGTCTTTGGTGGAAATCTTGTACGGATCTTCAAACTTCCCGCCATTGTTTACCGAATGTTACATCATCGTCATGGCCCAAGCTTTCCTCTGGTTTCTTACACTTGGGATATTTAAAATCTCTATCTATTCTACGCTGTTATAGGGGCAAACGAAGAAAATTCCGGATGTGACGCAGGCTAAGAATATTTTAAAAACAATCATAATAACTTCAGTTCATGTTTCAAATAGGCTTAAGCTTACTTCGGTTTTGTAAACTTGGCGAGTAAATTTGAATAGATTTTTTCATCAAAACCTCCATAAGCCAGTTTATGAAATCAATGAGATCTTATAATACTTTCTTCAATTTCTTTTATCAATAGTATTTCCCCCGGGGGGGGGGGGGG